GGGGGGGGGGGGCCCGGGCCGTGAGGCAGGACCCCCGCTGCATATTGTTGAGCTACCCCTGGAGCTTTCAGACTCCCAGGCTTCAGTGAGGGACAGAAAACCGTCAAGTCAAAACGAATTAATGTCACTAAATTCTTTCATGGGGCTCTTATTTTCTTAGGAGTACTTTCCTGGAGTTTAATGAAATTTAGCAAAATAAGTATAAAAATTGGTCATCACTGGCATGTAACCAGCCTGAAGTATACACCTTTCTCTTTTCGACACATCACATTGGTTTATAGTAGGCAGATAAGTATTTGTATGCAACAAATATTCCCCACATTTATGAACTAATATTCATATCCATGGCCATAGAAAATATATAAATATTATTGCACATGGCTTTAGCCCCTTTTGTGCTTTAAATTGCCGTGAATAGAATAACCCGTCTTCGTCCTGTCTGCCTCGTAGTCCTGATGAAGGTAATGGAATCTGTAATGAAGTACTTGTGTCTCCTCAGAGCTGTAAAGTACAGTGTATCCTTATTAATCATTCTGCTGTTATCACTAATCGTTTTATTAGAGAATCACTCCAAAGAAGTAGAAGTAAATTATAGGGCAGTTGAGTGAAAATCCAGACCACATGTTAGATACACTGATTACGAAGAGATACGTAAAAGGAATTCAATTATTACTTAAATGAAAGCTTTAAAAGAGCTTCTTTTAGAAACACCCAGTGTGCAATTTTCCTCAGCCAAGCTTCATTAGGGAGTAAATTGACTAAATATTTCTGGATGTAATAGTTTATAATTTTAACCTTTATGAGTCTTGATTTTCAATAGAAAAAAATTTAAAGCTACTAGTCGAGAATTATGACCATTATTATGAAACCCGTGTATGTAGTTTCCTGTATTTCACAGAATTAACTTCTAAATTTACAGAAATGTTGACTCATGGAAAGGGGACACTAAAATTAGACATTTCTCTTACTCTCAGAGGTCTAGTGGTCAGAGGCTTTAAAATAGTTTTTTCTCGCTTTTTGCAAATAACAAAGTATATAACCCTTTAATAGAAATATATATTTTTTTATTTCAACATATTCTTACATTTTATTTATATTTTTGTACTATTATTCCTTGATTGCACATATTACTAGAGAAAAGTGAGGCACAGATAATACTTAAATAGGAAAAATACAAAGAACTAAACACAATATATAAAGAACTTTTATGTTTGTAGAATAGTCTTAGAAAAATCTCAGCCTCTTTGCAAAAAAAAAAAACAAGCTTTGTCTGTGCTAGAAAGCAAGCAAAAATGGTAGCATGTGTTCACCATGAAAAATTTCTAAAATACAATATCCATTTGTAGTTAACTAGCATTCACTATATTTTTGTTTGTTGGTTGATAGGTTTTATACAAGTACCTAGGATGGAATGCTCAGGGCAAAATCTACCATTACCTTGGATTTACATCTGAAATATGTGATTTCTAGATATTTCAGGGTCAAGTATTAAGGCAGTTCATAGCCACGTATCCTGATCGCTAACTGTAGCTGTTTCCTGAAAAGACAGCAGGTGGAATGGGGATACCGTTCATGGTGGAGATCGTATGATGGTTTTAATAAACTCTGAGTTGTTCCAACATAATGAAAACCATTTGCCGTGTAATCCATTATATCTATGCTGTGACATTTAGGTAAATTTTTAAAAAATCATTTAGCTCTCCAAAGGAGAGATACAAATGGTCAACAAACTCATGAAAAACTGCTCAACATCACTAATCATTAGGGAAATGCAAATGAAAACTACCATGAGATACCATCCCGCACCCATTAGGATGGCTGCTGTCAAACAAATGAAACAGCAACTGTGGAGGATGTGGGCAAATCAGAAAGTCTGTGCAGGTTGATGGGATTAGAAAATGGTGCAGCCACCATGGAAAACAGGATGGCAGTTCCACAGAATTTTAAAATTGAATTACATGTCATCTGACAATTCCATTTCTGGGTATATATCCAAAAGAATGAAAAACAAGGTTTTAAAGAGACATTTGAATACACATGTTCACAGCAACACTGTTTTCACAGTAGCCAAAAGATGGAAGCAAACCCAAGTGGTAGCGTGACAGATGAACAGATAAACAAAATGTGGTATATACACATCAATGATAAATCATTCAGACTTAAAGAAGTTCTGACACATGCTACATCCCAGGTGAACCTTGAAGATATAATGATAAATCAAGTAAGCCAGTCATAAAATGACAACTACCCTGTGACTCCACTAATATGAGGCACTTAGAGTAGTCAAACTTATAGAGACAGGGAGAAGAATGGTGCTGGGGGAAGAGGGCAGGAGGGAGTAGCGGTTTAATGGGTATGGAGTTAGTTTTGCAAAATGGAATGAGCTTTGGAGACTGCTTGCATAACATTGTGAATATACTTAACACTATTGAACTTTACAATTAAAAGTTTTAAATGGTTAATTAAGATGGCAAATTTTGTGTTATATGTAGTTTGCCACAATTAAAAATAAAAAAGGGAAAGCCATTTAAAAATCATTTGGCATACTTCTAGAAAGCACAATATGGTGAGCTGATGGAAAATATGCTCCTCCTGCCTGTTACCCCCCGAACTTCCCGAATGTACCCCCCACACATGCAAATACAGGTTTAGTTGGGAAATTTTAAAAAAACAAACAACTTTAATTAGTGGGTTAAGAAGAAATCATAATGGAAAACAGAACATTAAAATCAATAACTGAAAAGAATTACATGAAGTTAGAACTAGGACTGAGTTAGCCTGTAGAGTAAGCAGAGAGTGGAAATTAAAAGATGAAAAAAAATAATGCAAAGCAAAGAAATACTAGAGAGAATTAAAAAAACAGAAGCTGATTCCTAGAGAAGACTGATACAATGGAGAAACCTCTGATAATACCCTTTAAGAGGTGAGAGGAGGCACGGATAAACAATATTTAGAATGGAAGGAAAGGCATGTATGGACAGAGAGTAAAGATTTTAAAAATCATAAGAGAATACTATATATATGATGTTTCCCAATGCATTTGAAACCCAATAAAATGGGCCATTTTCAAGAAAAAAAAATATAACTTTCCAAAACTAAATCAACACCTCTGTGAAGTATGATTTTCATTCCCATTATACAGATGACGACAGTGGTGCTTAGAGGGTCCAAATGACTTTCTCAAAGTCAAAATGCCAGTAAGCACACCAATTTTAAGGGAACAGCAATTGGGTAACAGAAAGGTACGTATGTTAGAGTCAGGTCATTTCAAATTTGAGCTTTTATCATTTATCTCGTGAGTGGCACTGGGACAGTTTGGGCCTCTCTGAGCCCCATTCCTCATCTATAAAATGGCAATATAATTGCTGCGTTGAACAATATTTTTTTATGACAATTAAATAAGAATGTGTCTTAAGACACTTGTAAAAATGTAATGCCTGGGCAAATCGCAGCAGAACATACCCTATCTCAGATTTGTCAAGAACACATTTGCTAGATTAGAAGGAGCACTTCCTGACAGATAAGTGCATCGGAATACTTTCTGTTTATCTGTGTCTTTTCACCTACCTCTGTATCTCCTGACTATACACACAAAAGCATAATCTGTTCTGGAACTTCAAACAACCTAACTCTTTAAAAGTATTGCTTATGAGGGCTACTTTCTTAATGTGCTGATTCAGTATTTGTTTCCTATAATGCAATGCTTTTGCTCTGTAATTAGACACACTAAAATAGCTAGATAGACTCCCTGTTTGGCAGTTCATTGTTCTAACCCGCACTGAATGCCTGGTTTATTGTATTCATTCAGCAGCAGTATTTTTTTCAAAGCCCCACTCTGCTACAACACCCAGCCTGTCCTCCCAGCACCCCACCCCTCTCCCAGGCAGAAGTGTAGTCAACCCACCCCTTGTGATCACCCAAATACCCCGTTACGATTTCCCACCCACCGCTGTGCTTTCTACCTAGAATTTACCCACCCTCTCTGTCTTCCATCTCTGCCTGACTTCTAACCATTGTTTTTTGCACGGACCAGATGTCACTTTTTCCTTGCAGTCTCTCTGATTAACCCCAGGAAACAATACTTGCTAATATCCCCTGCAATCCTCTAGCAATTTCCTGTATAACATATATGATAATTGTACTGTCTTATATGATAGTAATTTTAATTTTCCTTTTTGTGCTTGTTTTATGATATATAGGGTAGGGCAAAAGTAGGTTTACAGTTGTTTGTATGAAAAGTAATACAAGAATTAATAATACAAGACTGAACTTGTGTTTCACGTACTTATAACTGTAAACTTACTTTTGCCCCACCCTGTAAAAGTTATAGGGAAAAGATTGGATACAGGCCTGTTCTGCATGGACAAACCCATAAATGTTAATATTTTTATGTTTA